GCCTTTGATAAAAGACATTTTATAAAATCATACCTGAACTGAACCTGGTTGCTCAAGCTTGGAATATCAGCTTCCCAAGAGTCTGAGTCAGGAGTATCACAAATTCAAGGCCTGTGTGGGATACAATGAGTTCAAGACTAGCTTAGGCAGTCTAGTGAGATTCTGACTCAGAATAAAGAGTAAAAGGAGGGTTGAGGCATAACTCAATTGGAGAATATTTATCTAGCAAGTACAAGACCCCAGACTCAACTTCCAGTACACACACACACACACACACACACACACACACACACACACTTTGTAAATGGAGTTGTGCCCATATCAAGCGAAGAACTCGTGGTTTTTGCTGGCTGTAGGGTGAAGTCATGATCCTTGACCATTTTCAGGGCTCTCTGCCTCTCCTTGGGTCACATGGTCCTTCTCAACTTCACCACTCCTGTCACTCACACTCTGAGCTCAGCACAGGGATCAGTGATTCATTCACTGCAGCTGCCTGCAAAGTGTGTACCTGCATTCTGAAACACAGGGCAGACACGGGGAATTATAGTGCAGGGAGACGCATGCCAACAGTGAGAGGGTCTTGGTTTTATGAGAACCCGTGGGTAGGGCATCTCTCCTGGTATTGAGATGAAGGATGACTTTCTGCAAGGAGGCCATCTATGGGGAAAGCTACTGGGTCATAAGGAATCAAGAGCAGGGAAGGGGAGAAATTTCTGCAAAAGGAAATGAAATAGGCAAAATCAAAGTAAGAAAGATCTTGCTGAAGCTTTCTAAGCAGCCTTATGGAGTGTGTGCTGTTCCAGTGAGGGCTTTGGTTTTGTGTGTGTGTGTGTGTGTGTGTGTGTGTGTGTGTGTGTGTGTGTGTGTGTGTGTGTTGGGAATAGGATCTTGTCATATAGTTCAGCCTGGGCTTCAACTCTTGATTCCATATCTGCCTTCCAAATGCTTGGGTTATAGATGTGCATCATTATGTCTACCTCCAGTGAAGGTGGGAAGCTGAGAGAGAGAGAGAGAGAGAGAGAGAGAGAGAGAGAGAGAGAGAGAGAGAGAGAGAGAGAGAGAGAGGGAAGGAGGGGGAGAGAGAGAATGTGCTTGTCGGAATGTATCCCCAAACATTGACATGTTAGAAACTTAGTCCCTAGTCCCTAGTTGCTTCTTGGAAACTTAGGCTTTGTCTGAGATTAACTGTAGAAGCTTAGTTTCCAATGCAGCAGTACATGGAGGAGGAGCCCAACAGACAATGGTTAGTTTACAAAGCTTCTGCCCTCACTAGTAGATTAGTGATACTATTACAAGGCCTTGCAAATATAGAATCTATCTGAATATCTGTCTGTCTTTCCATCTGTCAGTCCATCCATGTATCATATCTCTCTTTCTCCCTGTACTTTCTTCACTGCCCTCCCTTTTTCCACTTCTCCTCCTCCTCTTCTTCCTTCTATTCCTTCTTTTTTGGTTTTTGAGATGGTCTCATGAAGTTCAGGCTAGCCTCGCACTCTCTGTGTATGAACTCACTGTGAAGCTAAGGCTGACCTTGAACATTTGATTTTTCTTGGCTCCACCTCCCAAGTGTTGGGACCACAGGCTTGTGCCACCATGCAGGTTTTAAGTAGTACTAAGATCAATCTTGGGGCCATCCGCAGGCTCCAAAAGTGTTCTAGCAACTGAGCTACAGTCCCAACCCTGGTTGTGTTTCGTTCTGAGACTTGGTCTTCCTATAGAATCCTACTTGGTTTCAAACTATTGGCAATCCTCCTGCCTCTGTGTTTTGAGTGCCACCATGCTTAGCTAATATTCACCTGTTTTCCCTCCTCAGGCACTGGAGATTGAATCTAGGGCCCCATAAATGCTAGGCAAGCGCTCTACCCAAGCCCTTACTCTTGTTTAAGAGGATACAGCATCCATTCCTGCCCACTTTTCTGTTCCCATCATATGAAGATGTAGCAGAAGGGTCCTCAGCAGACCCCAAAGGCCAGAACCTTGACCTCAGACCTCTTGTCTTCCATCACTGTAAGATAAACATTTTGTTCTTTGTAACTGTCCAGGTTTGCCATGTATGGCAGTGTGTGAGGACTGTGACTACAAGGGTAGCCTGGGCTACATAGTGAAATCTCATATCAGAAGGAACCCAACCAACACCCTCACCCCGGCTGCCTGCCACACATCAAAACAAACAAGTTTTAGTACAACATCAGAGTAGCCACGTATATGGAGTATGGCAGGCCCCAGAGGTCAACTGAAGAATTTATATTTAATGTAGCAAATAATGGTAAGCATGATGAGAACTTGACTATTGTTGGATATGTTGGTACATCCTTGCAAACTCAGCTCTCCAGAGGTAGGTGTGAGGGACTTTGCAAGTTCGAGGTCAGGCTGGCTACATATCAAAATCCTGTCTCTACTATGAGTCTGTCTTTGCTTGTGAGCCTATTTCAACAACAACAACAAGCTTGAAAATTAACTTGGTCATGGGACATGTGCACACACACACACACACACACACACCGTGTATATCAACATTACTTAAAGTGGGGTTTATAGTTGTATTATTGGTGATCTAAAAATATTGCAATAATGCTTGTTGTTTATTTCTTTATTTATTGATATGTGTGTGTGGAACATATACACATGTGTATATGTATGGTGTGGGAGCTCATGGAGAAGTCAGAGAGGGACAGTGACTGTCCTGTTCTACCACTGTCCTTGTATTCCCTGAAATAGAGCTAGACTGGTGGCCAGCACTCCCCAGCGATCTTCCTGTCTCCACCTCCTACAGTGCTGGGTTATAACATAGCTACACCAGGTTTATTATGTGGGTGCTTGGGATTTGAACTTTGGATCTCATACTTGTGCTTTAAGTGCTCTTAGCCACTAAGCCAGTGATTCTCAACCTGTGGGTCATAACCCTTGGGGGAGGAGGTTGAATGACCTTTTCACAGGGGTCACATATCAGATATCCTGAATATCAGATATTTATATTACGATTCATAACAGTAGCAAAATTACAGTTATGAAGTAGCAACAAAAATAATTTTATGGTTGGGGGTCATTGCAACATGAGGAACTGTATTAAAGGGTTGAAGCATTAGGAAGGTTGAGAACTACTGCACTAAGCCATTTCTCCAGTCTGTTGCTTTTGGAAATAGGCCCTCAAACTTGAGGCAATCCTCTTGCTTCAGTATGTAGCCAAGGATGACCTTGAATTCCTGATTCTCCTGCCTCTTCCTCCCACGTTCTGGAATTATAGGTTGAGCCATGACTCTTGGCTTTGATAATTTGTAAATTATACTTTTTTTTCCCAAAACTTTTATAGTGGGAGAACATGTGTAATAGAAAACATAAAATCTTACCAACTTTTTTATTTCATTTTGATTTTTTGAGACAAGGTCTCAAGGTAATAAATCTAGCCTATGTTGACCTTGCTTGAGCTTGCCAAGAACTCTACTTGTGAGAGCTGGGGTTATTGGCATGCCCTGACATGCCTACTCAAAATGGAACTTTATCACTGGTTTCGTGTGTGTGTGTGTGTGTGTGTGTGTGTGTGTGCCTGCGTGTGGTTGGGTTTGTATGTATGTATGTATGTATGTATGTATGTATGTATGTATGTCTTTTTGGAGATAAGGTCTTGCTATATGGCCTTGGCTAGCCTGGACTCATCCCAGGCTAGACTTGAATTTGAGTCACTCTTCCTGTTCTATTTCCCCAAGTACTTGGATGATAGGCATATACTACCTGTAATCTAATACTACCTGTCTCAGTGTAATATTACTATTTAATATTCTTTTAAATGTTTTTTATTAATATGAAAATTTAAAATATTTGTACCAATATTATTCACATATATTTAAAAAATCATAGTGTAAGTAAGTTATATCAACCCTGCCAGGCCATAGGATTCTTTCCTCTTTAAACTGTTTATTTATGCTCATTTAGTAAATAAAACTTTAATAGTGTATATATTATTTTTCAGAAAATTTTCTTTAGAGACAGAATCTCACTGTGTATCTCTGGTTGCCTTTGAACTCACAAAGATCAGCCTGCCTCTGTCTCCTGAATGCTGGAGTTAAAGGTATAGACCACTGCACCTGACTTTTTTCTTTTTTTCCTTTCTCGTCTTCTTTGCTTAAAGATTTATTTTAAGCTGGGTGGTGGTGGCACGTGCCCTTAATCCCACACTCAACAGGCAGAAGTCGGCAGATCTCTGAGTTGGAGGGCATCCTAGTCTACAAAGCAAGTTCTAGGACAGCCAGGGCTACACAGAGAAACCCTGTCTTAAAAAACAACAAAATAATCTATTTTAAATTATGTGCTTGCATATATGTCTGGGAGGGGTATGTGCACATGAGTGTAGGTGCCCTCGAACTGGGGTTGCCAGTGGTTATGAATCACTTGATATGGTTGCTGGGACATGAACTCAAGTCCTCTGCAAAAACAGTACACACTATTAACATCTGAGCCATTTTTCCACCAGCATCTCTTATTTTGTATTTTGTTTTGTTTGTTTGAGACAGTCTCACTCTGTGGTCCAGGCTGGCCTCAGAGTCAGGCAGGGCATATGCCTCAACCCCCAGAGTGCTGGAATAGCATGTGAGTGTTGCTACAGCCATTTAGAAAGAATAATTTGGACTCTACAAAAATCCAGGTGGAATATTGTTTGAATAGGATGCTGACTGTGGTTTTGAACACAGTGGAGAGGAATTGGAATCTGTACTTTCTGGAGGATGAGAAATGACTTCAATGTGAGGAAAGAGTGAAGTCATGTGCCTAGAGGTCAAAGCCAGTATCAAGCCATTCTTAGAAATGGGTAATTTGGCTGGGCAGTGGTAGCGCATGCCTTTAATCCCAGCACCTGGGAGGCAGAGACAGAGGCAGGTGTATCTCTGTAAGTTTGAGGCCAGCCTGGTCTACAGGGTGAGTTCCAGGACAGCCTCCAAAACAGTACAGAGAAACCTTGTCTCAAAAAATAAAAAAAAAGAAAGAAAGAAAGAAATGGGTTATTTGAGGAAAGAGACTTAGGACAGGAGGAGGGTGTTGGTTGTGTTTTGAAACAAATGGCCTGGAAACTTGAAGATGGAATGTGGTGATAAGAGTACTTGCCCTCAGCCAAGTGCATGCCTTTAGTCCCAGTACTTGGGAGACAGAGGCAGGTGAATCTCTTGTGAGTCTGAGGGCAGCCTGGTCTACAGAGAGAGTTCCAGGACAGTCAGGAAAACAGTGAAACCCAGTCTGAAAACCAAAACAAGCCAAAAGAAGTTCTTGCCATACATGACCAGACCATCATCCTACTCCATGAAGGACTCGTGGGTCTCTTTGCTTGTCACTCTGCAGGCAGCATTGAGTGTGACAGTCATACATGGAGTTCCAATCAAGCCTGAGTCATCAGGGACCGGGAATTCTCCAAGTCATCCTGGAACTAAGTCCTCCACCAGACAACAAGGTAATTGAGACAAAGGGCTCCACTCCCTTCTCCAAACCAGAGGCTGTTTGGGACGCTTGGCTTCCAGCTGTGCTTTGGGGGTTGCGATGTGAAGTTAGTTATATGTGTCTCCTGGTTTTTGGTTTAGATTACAATCACTAATCAACTGGTTTCCCAAAGAAAAAAAGCATTTCCGGTTTGGAATCAGGGCCCATCTGTTTCTCATTTTATCCCCGTCTCGGAAGACTGGATTGCTTATATACATGCTTTCATCCCTCCCGCCTTAAGAACATACGCCAGCTGGAAGCAAAGTGGCCTTACTTGGCTACCTTTGTCAAAGTGAGAATGATGTGTGTTGTGGGGGTTACTTGGGAAATTCTTTGTTTCTGTGCAGAACAGGTATCTGAGTTAAATTTTTTTCATGATTTTAAGTTTCTGTATTTAACCTCTCTCCCCAAACCTAATATAAATAAAAGAGTACATAAGGCCATGTCTAATTAAGTGGGAGGCAATAGATAATGTGTCTAGAGAGTCATTTGCACAACAGAAGGATAACAGTTGACTTTCAGATCAGCTGAGAGTGAACTGTGGCATTGAACAGGCATCTTGGAGGTGGCAGTGTTGCCATCAGCATCTCTCCTGAGATTCAGAAGGAAACTTCCTCTAGAAGCCAGCTCCATTTTCCTGTGTGTTACAGGTCCCTCTTATGCTGGTTATGAAGATTGTCTTGCATCTGCTCCTCAGAGCATGAGAACCGATTCTGTGAGTCCATTGGCCCTGCAGCCAGAATTCTGCGCTTCCTCCATACCATCATCACCACGACCACCGTCGTCACCACAAACACTATACCGCTAACACTATAATCTTACCATCTTGACTATTAGCATCTAACGTGAGTGTGGAAGGTCATAATGGAAAAATTGTATTTAAAACCACATGCCAGGCCAGTTCAGTTGATTGGCTGCTTTTCTAGCATGCATCAAGTCCCGGGCTCAGTGTCCAAAAGCATGAACCCTGGTGTGGAGGCTTACCGATAGGGAGGAGGAGGCAAGTAAGTGAGAAGTTCATGTCAGCATTAGCTGCCTACTTAGTTCAAGACCCTGTTTCAAAAACAAACCATTTGTCCAGATAGATGTGACTTTGATTTCTTCACTGTGTTACCTCAGACAAGTTACACCTTTGTATGCCAGTTTTTACATTGATTATATGGAGGTGACAAAAAGGCTCAGACGATTAAGATGAAAAAAAAAGGTGATATATTGAAAAAATTTGTTTTGAGACAGGATGGAGACACAGCTGGCTTGGAATTCACTATGGGGACCCCAATGATGTTGACATCTCTGTGATCATCCTGTCTCTTGACTGCCAGAGTCACAGGTGTGCATCACTACACACAGGTGTATACCCAACTCAAAGTCCATTCTTCACGCGTTTCTTCTTCAGAAATTCTTACAGAGAACGAAGAAGATGTGATTGAGGCAAAGGGGATGTGCTATGAATGAAGGGTTGAGTTGCCAGCAGGCTGTGTATGGAATGAAGCAGCCAACTACAAAATGAAAAACATGCCAATAATACGTTTTAGCTTGGAATTATGTGCCAAGTGAAATTATGCCTACTTCTTTCTTTGTGGTTGCCGCCTGTACCCTCATTTTGTGGCAGCATCTTGGGTGACTCGATTGATCAGAACTTCAGATTCTCCTGCCCCACCTTCCCAAGTGCAACACTTCACTTGGCTGCCTGCCCATCTCCCCATCTTTGGAAGCGGAGGCTCCTATAGCCCTTCCCCTGCATGCTGAAACCTAATAGGTGCCGGCTTCTTCAGTTCCTGAAGTCTGACTGTAACAAAGCCTCAAGTCAAAAGGCGAGCATGTGACTGACGCTCTTCAGGAGAGGTGTGTGTCCAAAGCATTATGAAGGATACATGATTATGGACCTGACCAAAAGAAAGGACCACTTTCTCTGAACTCACAGAAAATGGTGTGCGTTCTGTGTTCTGTGTGCAGGACATTTCGTTTGGCATTGGACTGTACCACTTTCTGGTTCATCTTCCTGTTGTAATATATGCATCACAGGGTTTGTGGGGTAGGCCGGATTTGTCTCTGAATTCCTACAGACATGCACAGAATTTACCACAAAGTGAGCTCCAATAAATAGCTACAGAGTAAGTTGAATGTGTGCCTTGTTTTTCCTGAGGACACTGGAGATGTTTCAGAGAGAATACTGCTCTCTGTGTCTTTCCATCCGGTCCATTCTTCACCTCACTTCTGTGTCCAGAAGATGGTCCAGGGTGTATAATGTTCAGGGCAAGCAGCTGAGTAAAGCAGGCTGTAAGAGACCTCTGCAAGTATCCAGGCTGGGTCCGCATTCCCTAACAACAGCTCTGCCATAGGTGGTCAAGCCTCCCCAGCCAGGGCGAGCAATTCCCGCCCTGGAAAACATTGTTTACCAAGGCAGACATTTGAACAGGAAGTCCTGAGCACTCGGACTGTATCCCTGTGAGCCTTCATCTGTTGTTACAAAAAAAAAGAAAAAAAAAAAACAAAGCAAAACAAATCCAAACTGGGCTGGTGAAATGGCACCAAGCCAAGCAGTCCAAGTTGGATGCGCCGGGCCCACAGGGTAGAAGGAGAGAATCTCTGGCGATTTGTCCTCTGACTTCACTCTTGTATGTACATACCTTCCCTCCATTGAGGAGACAAACATATCTGGAGAAAGGTTAAAAATGTTATACATTGGAGATAGATTGGAAATACAAAACTTTTTTTTTAAAGATAAAGTTTTGCGATGTAGCCCAGGCTGGCCTGGATCTTATGGTACTTCCATTTCGGTCTCCAGAGAGCCAAGGCTACATGCATACACCATCATAGACAGCTAAAACTTTTAAACACACCCACTGCTTGGCAGCTTGTCATATTTGGAGAGAGCTCTCAGACGGCCTTCACGGTGACACAGGTGGCATCTCTGTGCCCTTTGTCTCTCTGACAGAGGCTCCTTACTTGGCCCTTACTGTGACTACCGTTGCTGAGGAAATGGCTGTGTGCTGGGCGCCAGGGAGAGTTCTTCTCGTACGTCATCTCCCTTAATTCCCACAAACTCCTGAAGCGAGTGTCATTGCCACAGGCCGGCTAAGCAAGGATAATAATTGGCCTCAGCAGTAAACAACAGTGCTGGGACTGGAGTCCAGGACTGTCCCGTATCCAGGGCGTGTTTGCGTCTTCTGTGGCATGCCGCCTCCCTGAGCTACACCGCATCTGTCTGTTCCCTTGAGAGTGTTGACTGTCTGGGCTGCACTTTCAGCCATCTTCCTCAAATACTGTTTCCTGCCTCACACTGGTCAGTCTTCTAAGAGATTCTTCATTCTTCTCGTGTAAGACCATTGCCCCCGTTTTTCTTGAGACAGTGGTCTCATTACGTGGTCCTGGCTGGCTCCAAACTCTGTGTACACCTGGCTGGTCTTGACTTGAAGGTCTCCTGCCTCTGCCTCCCAAATTGCTGAGATTACAGGCGGTGTCATCATATCTGGCTTCGGACTCCTCTGGATTTTTTTTCTATGTAGCCAAGGTTGGCCTCTGACATGCTATGTTCCAAGGATAACCTTGAGTTCCTGATCTTCCTTCCTTTCGATTGCTGCTATTACATGTGTGCATCTGGGACCACATGAGTGCATCTGGGATTACATGTGTGCATCTAGGACCACATGAGTGCATCTAGGACCCCATGTGTGCATCTGGGATCACATGTGTGCATCTGGAATTACATGTGTATAGCTGGGATCACAGGTGTGCATCTGGAATTACATGTGTGCATCTGGGATCACATGTGTGCATCTGGGATTACATGTGTATAGCTGGGATCACAGGTGTGTAGCACTATGTCTGCTTTTTTTTTTGCAGTTTGGGTGACTAAAGCCAGAGCCTTGTGAAGGGTGGGCAAATGCTCTACAAACTGAGGTCCACCTCCAGCCTCACTGTGTTCTTTCGCTTTAGAAAATACTCTGTTTTCAGGATGACATAGTGACATGTCTCACCTGTCAGTCGCCTCCAGACACATTTCGGGCTACTGCCCTTGCCACATGATCTACCAGGTAGAAACAAGTCTATATACAAACAGTAATAAATGCACTTTCATGTAGTGAGAGCCTACAGTTGCCTGGGCTGATGTGCTGTTACCTTGGCAACAAAGAAAATAAACCGTGTTCTCAGAAATACTCTCCTAGAAGCAATAGAAAATTTGCACTTGCTACTATCATTTTATTCTCTTGAATTAAATCTTTCAGTGAAACTTGTTGAAAACTATGTTTCAGCCGGTTTTTGTCTACTTGTGACGACTATAAAGCATAACATTTCCACAGAAAGAAAAAGCCAGTTTCAACATTTTGTCAGGAAATTATCCTCACTGTGCCCTGTGTAGACTGAAAAATTCCTTGAGGAAACTGAGGCAAGAAGAGGAAGAAAGAGGTACAGCTTCCTCGTTTTTATTTTATTTTATTTTCCAAGACATGGTTTCCCTGTGTAGCTTTGGAGCCTGTCCTGGAACTAGCTCTTGTAGAACAGGCTGGTCTCGAACTCACAGAGATCTACCTGCCTCTGCCTCCCAAGTGCTGGCATTAAAGGCGTGCACCACCACCACCCAGCTGCTTCCTCACTTCTTAATTGTCCCATTGCTCCACAGTTGCCCCCAAAGGTTGTTGCACGTAGTACCCTGCTCTGAGCTTAGGCACAATGCAAGTTAGACCTAAAAGAAAAAATTACAGTGAAAATAAAGGCTGGAGATTCAGATCAAGTGTTCAGAAGGCACAAAGCCTAGGTTTGGCCTACAGCAGTACAAAAAATAAAGGAAAAATTGAAGTGATGGTGGTGCATTTGGTTCTTGCACTTACAAAGCAGAGGCAAAGAAAAAAAGTTTGAGGTCAGCCTGGGCTACCTAATAAGTGTGAAGCCAGTCTACAATACATAGGAAGACCCTGTCTCAAAGAAGAGAAGAGGAGGAGGGAAGGAAGGAGTGAGGGAGGGAGGAAGAAAGGAAAGAAAAATAATTTTTTAAAAGATTTAATTATTAATTTTTTTGAAAAAGATCCTGTTTTATGTAGACCAGTCTGGCCTCCAACTCAGATCTACCAGCCTCTGTCTTCTGAGTGCTGGGATTAAAGGCATGGGCCACCGAGCCTGGATCATATTTATTTTCTTTTAATTATGTGTATATTTGTGTTTGGATGTACATGTGAGTACAGGTGTCCACAGAGATGAGAGCCATTGGATCCTCTGGAACTGGGGTTGCCGGTGGCCTTAGGATACTGAGTGTGGGTGCTGGGAACAGAACTCAGGTCCTCTGCAAGACTGGCACACTTTCTTAACCTCTAAGATAGCTCCTAAGTGACCAAAGTGCAGAGAGTAGGCGTCCACAGACATCTGTCACACCGTTTCCCCACAAGGCCTATGGGCTATCCAGCAAAAGGGCCAGAAAGACTGGAAGAGCCAGAGGTCAAGGCCCAGAGTAAAACAGTGTCTTCTGGGAAGGACAGGACAGTGGCACTCACAGTCTCAGCAGCTGTGGATGTTAGCACATGAGCAAGCCAGTAAACAGTTCAGCTGGTGTGGGGAGGGGCTCCTGAATCCCCACCCCTAGCTGAGGAGCTAGGGCTGTTTATGACCTCTGCAGAAGGATGGGTTTTCTTTAAGGGTGTGGCCCCAGGCAGGTGGACCACACTCCAGTAGATGGAGCCATAAGGACAAGGGCAGCACAAATTAGACCTAGTAGATTATGTTCAAAGGGCCATAAATTTGGAAGGGGGTGGGATGAATATGATTAAAATACAAAAAAAATGCGCGAATGAAACTATCATTAACATATTACATTTTTCTTTCTTTTTTGGGGGGTTGGGTGGTGGTGGTTCTAGACAGGGTTTCTCTGTACAGTCCTGGCTGTCCTAGAATTCTCTGTAGACCAACCTGGCCTTGAACTCATAGAGATCTACCTGTCTCTGCCTCCCAAATGCACATAACGGTGTTCATCTCATGGAGAAGTGTGCCGCCAGCCCACGTTCCGACGCACGCGCACACTGCTCTGCCGACTGGAGCAGTTGTATTGAAAACATTATTTGTGTTAGCGTCTCAGACTGGCTCCGGAGGGATAGAAATCTCTGATAAAAAAACAGGTCAAAAACAAAGATGAGGGCAGGGGATGTTGCTCAGTGGTGGAACACTTGCCTAACGAGTGTGAGGCACTAGTTTCAATATCCAGCATCATGGAAAGCATAAGAAAACACTGGCTCCCATCTCTGCCTTGACTTGCCTCACCTTTAGATAACCAGATCTGGCCTGAGCCTCCCTTCCCCTGACAATGGTCCCTTTGCTGCCTTTCTTGTTCACAGTCCATCTTCCAAGCCTCTCACCCTGACCTGCCACACGCACCACGCTGGCAGTTCCGTTTTTTTCCGAATATGGATTTTCAGTCTCATCTGTCACCAGCCCAGTGGCTATTAACATTGGCATCACCGCTATGATTCTGGCATCACTTTGGTTTGCCTTGGTTTTTGCCGCTTTGACCACAACTTAATTTTTCCCAACCCTTGGTCACCGCAGCTTGGTTCTTGAGGTTGTGCTAGGGAGCTCACAGCCCACAGCCTGTGACAGACACCTTCTCCCGTCTTCTGTTTCCTTGGCTGTCACTATATGAGGATTTCCCCCTCTTTCCTTGGAGGCTCTGTAAAGTGGTGGGCATCAGAGATGTATAATATTCAAGACATGCCCTCACCATCCTTGCTTTCTATTGAGAAAGAATGACATTCTTATGTGACTTGAGGAAGGGTAGCAAGGGGGGAGAATGCCCCGTGTCAGGGATGGGGGAGGAAACTGATGAAGATGATTTTTAGCATAAGAGGTAGGAGATGGTGTTCAAACAGGCTGGATGAAGAGGCATGTACCATGAAGCCGAGTGTGGTGACTCACACTATAGCCCCAGCACTTTCCAGGCAGAGGTCGAAGTGCCTTAAGTTTTAAACTAGTCTACACAGTGAGTTCCAGGCCAGCCAAGGCTATCTAATCTCAACATAACAACAAGCAACAGATCAAAGTCTATCATGGAGGCTTAGAAAAAGTACTCTCATTGACCCTCTCTGCATTTTTCCTTCTCTCTTTAGTAACTGTCCTCACCCCAGGTTGTTGCC